ACTTTAATTCGCCACTCCCTTTTTTGTTGATCAAACTTATTTTGTTTTGAGATTTTAAGAAATGGGGTTTGCCTTATATGCACAAATGAAAAGACCTATCATGGGGATAAACCAAAAAGTGTAAAGCTTTCATGTTTCTTTAATTTCTCTCGTTTTTTTTTCTTCCTTGTGAATTGCTAAAAGTAATATATCTTGAATCAATATATATAATGAAATCCTTTTGCTATATGGACTCAATTTTTTTGTCTTCGAATATGGGTTCAATTATTCAACCTCTAGATTTTAAATAAAGTAGTCATATTCGTGTAGAAATAAAAAGAAAATAACTACAAAAAATAACTAATGCTATTTAATGATCAACATCTATATGGGGGGAGAGCGCTAACGCACTGGAAGAAAGTTTGCTGGAGAAAAAGACCATTTTAGAGAATTTGCCTCATAGCAACGGTCCATATAATTTTATAGGAAATTTGATAACTTTACCAAATTTGAACATTAATTATGATGAGTTTCTTGCGTATGAAACCATCAAACAATATACGTGTACATGCTGATTTCTAAACAATAGTCGCTTCGGATATGCAACAGGACTCAAACGGACCGGAAAAAGCTGCAGACTACGGTGGCTAAACTATCTGCGACCAGACGTCCGCCGTGGAAACATAACCCTTGAAGAACAACTCTTGATTCTTGAACTTCACTCCCGTTGGGGCAATAGGTACTTTTTTTTAACAAGTCATCGATACACTTTATTTTCTTCAGTCATCAAAACATTTTAGTTTCTTCTGTTTATAAAAATCTGCATAAAATTGGTTATTTTTATTAAGTGATGGTCTAAGATTTTAATAAAAATCTGCGTACTTGTGTTTTCTTCTGTGATAACAAACAGATGGTCTAAGATCGCACAATATTTACCAGGAAGAACAGATAACGAGATCAAAAACTATTGGAGGACTCGTGTCCAAAAGCATGCAAAACAGCTTAGATGCGACGTGAACAGTCAACAGTTTAAAGACACCATGAGATTTCTTTGGATGCCTCGGCTTGTAGAACGGATCCAAGCCGCCTCCGTTTCAACCTCCACGTCCTCTTGCGTCACCACCTCCTCGGAACAGTTGATGATTACCGGAGTCAACAACAAGAGCTGCATGGAACATGTGGGATTAATGAGTAACCCTAATGGCTACATCTCACCGGAAAATTCCAGCGTGGCAGTATCTCCGGCATCGGATTTGTCCGAGTGTCATGTGGCCAGTAAAGGAGGGAAGATTGGGAGTAACTATAATCCGTATCAGGATTTGGTAGGTCAACAAATGTTATGGCAGAATTGTTTGGATAACAATGGATTATTAAACGGAGATTCAACGGCAATGCAGGAGCAAAGCTACGTTAATTGGTTCGAAAATATTAATGGGATACCTTCTTATAGTTCGGACAGTTTTTGGAACATTGGAAGTGATCAAGACTTTTGGCTCTTACAGCAACAGCTCCGCAACAATGGAAGCTTCTCAATAGAAAAAAATAGTTAAGTGAATTCATGTGTGAAAGAAATTTGTTTTAAAGGGACAAACACAACACCTCTATGTGAAATAGGAGGGTTTGGGGAGATAAGGAAATTGTTATTTTAGAGTAAAATTCTACTGGTTTTGTGTTTTTGTGTTCTTGTGGTACTGTGATATTTTCTTTTCCTTTTTTTCCGTTTGTGGGATGATAATTTATTTGAAAGATGTTTTTACAATAATAGTATATTTGTGATTTCCTTCATGTGAGCATGTTGTATAAACACAATGATAACTATAATTGCACTAATATATATAATCTTTGATTATTTCTATTTTATTTGCAAAACTCGCGGATGACATATTCGTAAATATGATAATTCACAAACATAAAACAGCATCGAACACACGTTTAAAAAAATATGTATAATATTTTATTCAATAACACACTTTATAAGATATCACGCTAATTATTTTTTAACAGAGAACTTATCTACGGAAACACGATTGTATTTTTGTCGTAAATGTTGACTCTACAAAATAATAGTAGTATATTTTTATATATGTTTTTGCCAAAGAAACCATTAATAATTGGTTCCACCATGTTTCATACTACTTCGTTAACCAGTATATGTCACAGAAGCAAATAAAACATAGACATATTAAAAATATACTTATACTTTAATGACTTTGGTAATGATAGAATGAGAAAAACGGATAATCCAATTCATGATGCTTTTAGGAAGCATGTCTATGGGACCATGAATATTGAAAAAGGGGACCGAAGTGTGTGAAAGAAAGGCTTTGGGTTCAAAAGTAAACAATCCAAAAATTGTATTTTTTGTTCAATCTCTACGTGGAGACGTCTCCATGGATAATGTCTGAGTTTTAAGGTGGCCATTAAGGGGATTATTCTTGTGGGGAATGTAGTAATTATTAGTTTAGTTATTAATTAAATACTATGCTTAGTGATGATAATCCCACCATAAACGCGTGCAAATCCTTAATTTTTAATTGAACACCATTATTGTATACGTACGGACGATTCCACCATTATCCAGATAATTTCTTTCTTACTGAAACACGTCATTCAAACTATATATAGTCCTCCTCCTCAATTATTTTTTATATATAATTATCGAAGATTGTCATAATAATAATGAGGCAATTATTCGATAAATGATGTAATAAAAAGTAAGGATGTAAATCTGGTTCCAATTGAAGATGAATGAAATTGATTTGATTGAGGCTAAGTTATTTTTAGTAGCTACGAAAACTAGAAAGATAGAATGAATCCAATGCTATAATACAATATTCAAAATGTTTTTGTTATATTCGATGATGTAAAAACAAAGTGTATATTATTACAAGAGTATCTTTTGCTATAGTTTTTTTTGCTTTAGAAGCCAAAGAAAAAGATTATCTTCATGTTGATCTTTTTTCTGCTTTTTAGTTTGTAAGAG